AGCATTTAGCGACTGAAGTAATGGGCCTTTTGATCTGTATCACCAATGATAGCAAAGTCTAAGAAATCCAAATCAAAATTTAGTGACCCAGTTAGTCACGGTCGCTTACCAATTCCCAGACCTAAGGGAGCTTACTTACCCCAGCCCCTTAAATGAAGAGGAAGGTGACTGTCCTTAAGAAGGACCGTGTAAAGCAGCATATGTCAATTCTATCCATCTTCCCTTTTAGCCATTCTGAGAGATGTTTCTGGCCATTTCTAAATAAGCAGGAGGGGAGTGTCACTGCCCAGATTATAAAATTTAGATTTCTAGATCTAAATTTAGATCTAGAAACTAGGATATAGAACACAGACCTCTCTGATTATTAAAATAACTGCCTCTGAGCCAACACTAATCCCCGTGGGTCCAGAATACCACTAAGAAACACTGATCTGAGGGGAGGCTATCGGGGTAATGTGATGACTGAGATTTTGTCCTGACCCCATATTACAATTGGTGCAGTGATGCCTCCATTCAATCCTTTGATTATTTCACCAGGTCATTGGTATATATTTGGAAGTTTTACTCTTCAACTGAAAGAAATCTCTGTCTCTGAAACCCATGTGGTAAGAAGCTGTAAAACTGTAGTAACGACCAAACTAAAGCATCTCCAGCCTACCAAAAGAGCAAGCACACATCTTTAGTGGATCCATAGAGAAATGCAGCAATTAGTGACATGATAAGAAAATGGAAGAGTCAAGAGTGGGGATTCCAAACACGCAGATTTAAATTTCCTGTTCAGTCTGTATAAAAGACAAACTAATCTTGGCAAATAACAATACATTTAATCAAGTGGTGATTGCAAATACAACCTATAGGTTCTCTCCACTGAAGAAAATGAACAAGGACCCTCAGAATTATCACAGTAATAATGAATGGTCTAGCAAGCGACAATGAATTTTTTTTTTTTTACATCTTGATAAACAGAGACCAACAGAAAATATCTGTTGCCCCCTTCTCAGGGACAACTGTATAATTTTACTTTACTGTTTCAGCATTCTCCTTAATTTCCAACTCTACAGTGTAATTTGGTCTCAGCAACCCTGGTCATCTCGACATCCTATGAGACATCATGCTGGACAACTACATGAATGACACCAAACTGAAAGTACTCCATTAAATGGAATTATCACATCCCCCAGAGACCTTTGCAAGATCCAAGAAATAAAACCCTTCAAAATATAGGAACCACATTTCTTAGTGATATTTCTAATAGCCTGGGACAGATTGGGACATCCCCTCCAAAACATTTGTTGTACTTTGCAACTCATATCATGTGAATCTAGCAATTAATGAAAAAGAATATGAAAATGAATATATGTATATATATGCATGACTGGAATATTATGCTGTACACCAGAAATTGACACATAATAACTAACTATACTTCTATTAAAAAGAAAAAAAAAACTTGGTCTATTTCAGCTCAGAATTAGGATTCTGTATCTTTGCATATTGAAGTACTAATACTTTTGTTTCTTCAGTTAGAATAAGCTAAATCTTTCTTAAGATAAGTTGTACATTTATACATATTAAAAGAGCTTTAAGATGTAACTCTGGATAAAGTATGTCTAGTGCAAAATTATTTTAAAATAAAAACTTTAAAAATCTCTTTATAGAAGAATATGATAAATGCACACTCATTTGTGAGCAAATAATGAAACATTTAAAGTAACTGCTTTCAATGGGATTTTTAATTTTCACACTATGTCGATATATCACTCTTCATCTACCTATCTATCCATCTATCTAGCAGGTACATATTTTAGATGCCCTAAAATAATAAAACAGAAGAACAATAGGAGTGAACAATAGAAGTGTTGTCATGTAAATAATCTAAATAATTCTTTTGTCATGTAAATAATCTAAATACTTCTTTGCAAAATAATTAGGTCAATTTTTTTTTAAAGAATGAATTGCATAAGAAAGACAAACTCACTAGAAAACTGGAGAAACTCAATGAATTTTATGCCTTTTCTAAGTTTGAGTTTGATAAAGGATGGTTTATATATCCATCATTTTATCCAATTTGCAATTTGACTATTTGTTGAGTTCCTTACATAATTAACGTATTCACATTTTATTTTCCTGTCGGTTTCCTCTTCTCACACACAGCATTCCTTTATCTTTTTGTAGGTAATTTCGTTTCTTGATCCTCCCCTTCATATGTGTTTGTTTGCTGACCACATCATGATAATTTCCACAACAATTTTCCCGTTCTTTCCTGTCAACCTCAGTACAATTTGCTGCACTTTAGAAGGACCATAAATTCCAACTAATTGTAGTATTTAGCTTTTCCTAAGACTTCACGTTTTACTAGACTATTAAATTATATGCAAAAAAGTATCATTTGAATTCAGACAACTTCTCACAAAAGCAAAATGCTAGACTCCATAATGATACAGTGGTTGGAAAACGTCTTAAATGCTGTATAGACATCCATAAATAAATCATTTAATCACTATCCTCGGCATGAAATCATCATTTTCTTTTAGAGACTGAGATCAGCCAGGGTTACCTAATCAATCTCAGTTTCTAGCTTAATACAAGATTCTCATCTTGAAAAAATTACTATTTTCTTCTTGTACTTTCTGGCTATAATTTTGAATCTGGACAGTTCATACATCACATTGATTTCACAAACATCAATCAATCAGAAAATGACAGAAAAAATATAAATTTGAAACAAATCAATTAAGAAAAATGCATTTCTCAAAAAAAACACTCCTTAGAGGAGATGGAAATGGAAGTGAAAATGTACTGAAAGAAGTTTTATATAAAATCCAGTACAGATAACTTTCTTCAGTTTAATGCTGAAAAAATATTCAAACATTAAAACCAACTATTACACTTTCTACAATGTTGGTACTTGATAAATGTCCAGCACAGTGGAATTAAATATAAGATTTTTTAGGAGCTACTTAAAATGAACAGTTTGTGGAAACTGAGATTTGGTTAGTCTGGAATGTAAGATACTGATATTTTTATTTTTTAATTTTTATTTTTTGGTAGATTTGCAAGAATTTTACAGTATGTGTATTCTGAGAAAGTAGGGAAAAAAGCTGCAACTAAAAGTCAACAAAATGTCTGCTCTGAATACAAATGTTTGCTTTACATGATAGACGTGCCTTGAACAGCTGGATGAAAATTATTCTTTCTTGGTATTTAAAGTATTTATAATTCAAAAAACACGCTTTGCATCCTAACAGGTCAGCAAGTCAAAGATAACTACAGCAAATACTTATTAATCTCATTATTTTAAATATAAACAGTCATTTCCTACATCTAGTTCATGAGAGAAATATCTTTCAAAGAAGTTAAGGTTATGCAAGCTAAACAATATTATCCCAAAGGAATACAACTCTTAATGCCTGCTCAATATGCTTTCAGTATGTTGATGGAAGATTCACATGCAGAAGCAAGTAAGCTTGAAAAATGTTGCATATGAAACCTGAAATTGTATGTTTAATGCTGATACTTTTCTGATGTGGGAAGATAGTTCACGTTCACAGAATGCTTGTGGCATCTAGAAACTGTGATGGAAAAATGATATACACTAGTATTGCCAGCAGCTGAGTCTATAACTGAAGGAAAACTTATTTTTCACTATTTTTGTCTAGTTCTTAAGCACTTTTATTAGTTTGACCTTAGGTTAGGGAGTAAACAGAGAAAAATATACAGGACTCACTGAGGAAAGTGATAGATGTGTGTACAGTGTTTTTCTCATAGAATAAAAACAGTGCTGTGAACACATACTCAACATGGATGAGAACATCTAGAGTGCGTAGAATGACTCAGTGAATTACTCAAATATCTTTATATCATCTGGGCTATTTCTGAATGTTTCCCTCAGGTATAGCAATCAAAAATAACTATGAACTCAATGGCATGTGTTTTTCTTCTTTTCAAAAGATAATCACTTCATTTACCTGACACACCCAATAATTCACATTATTTCAGTGAAGACTTGATTACAACAGCATACTCTTGTCAACCAGATCATCTACCACCTACAAACTTAGACTAACATTATATGAATTAAGTCTAATTTGATTTGGTCAAACACATCCTATTCCACTGTGAGCTCTACTGGCAAGGATGTCCTCACTGACCAAAGTCCATCTGAGGCACTGTTAAGGTAACAAGCTTATGCCCCTGCACTGAGAGCTGTGGACAAGGAATAGAGGGTAAATTACATTTAATTCAGCCATAGTTTACCTTTGGTTTTTATTTTAGCAGAAGAGAAGCCCTCTATATTGATTTACTTAAAATGGAGTATTTGAGGGGAACCTTTAGGGGAATTAGCAGTTCAAGCAGAAATGTTTTCTTTGCTCCCTAATAATTACTCCCGAGTATTTCCAAGATCTGCCTATGGAGTAGAGATGTACTTTCACATCTATGGTAGTTGCACAATAGTTCATAGTTATTTTAATTTTGCTAAACAGATTTATCAAAGAAAAATTACTTCATGCATTTTTATAACAAGAGTGACAGAAATAATAAGAAAACCCTATTGTAGTCTGCAAAAGAAATTCAGCTGTGGTGCCAAACAAACAAGCAAATAAAACCTGCTTGATTACAGCCAAATTAATGAATAAAACAAAAAAACTTAAAGTAAACAAAGCACCAAAAATGTAGATTTGAGCTACAATAATTGCCTTGTGTGAAATTTTGGGATAAAAAATAATTGCTAGCCAATGGATTTGAGCCAAAGATGTATTTTCTAATGAAAAAATTCAATTAAAATCTCTCTCTTTTTTTCTGTCCATGGCTGTCTCTGCTAAGAAAGCTTTAGCTTTTATTTGTTTAAAACTGAAAAAAAAAAAAGCATTTCAAGATGTTTCGAATTTAAATCCTAACCCTCTGGATAACGGGAGTTCTCTAACAGGTCTCAGGCAACTTGGCCCTCAGCTGTGGAGATACAGCCTAAGGTACATGATTTGGTTGGACATCACACTTACCTGCTTGATTTGTGGTTACATTTACAGACACATACTGCCGGGCTCCAGGGCTCAAGTCGGACACTCCATTCACTGCCTCAATCTCAAAGGTATAGTTTGTGTGAGCGAGCAGATCCACCATCATGACAGAGGTGTTTTTCAGGCCGGTTTGCTGGGGGAGGTACCTGACATGACCGCCACACTCGTCACACACACCTGCATGGGAGTTGCACTTCTTGCATGCAATATAATATGACACATCTTTCCTTCCACCAGTGTCAGCAGGAGGAATCCATTCCAGAAAGACACTAGTTTCATTAACATTTGAGATGGCATTCCGAGGAGCTGAGGGGGGTCCTGGTTTGCAAAGTAAAGTGAAAAAAACAAATTTTGAGATGATAAAATTAGGCATTTGTTTACTACACAAATCTCTGGTCTGAGGGAAAAAACAGATTTGCAATCAATCTTTTAAGCAGGGAGAATGCAAGAGTCATCAATTCGTAATAATCTTTGAAAAATCTTGTTATAGTTTTGTAGGGACAATAGTGGGGTTTATATCCTATAGAAATGACTTATCTTGGCAATCTTATGAGTTAAATTAAAGAAGATGTTTTGTTTAGTGTATATGTAAAGAAATATGGAGTAAAAACAAAAAGTAATGTGAGATAAAATTATGTATTCAAATAGTGGCAAGTTCTTCAGCAAGTCCAAGGAAAAATTTTCCTTGGGGACTGAACTGATTACTTCCCTCACAGATACTTGTCCCTGAAACCTAGGAAGTAAATCTGAAGTATTTACTAAGCAAGGAGCACAGGTAGAAATAGGAATTTTCACTGTGGCTCTTGACTACAAATTCTGCAGGAAGTTAAAAAAAATAGCCTTAGTTTATTCAAAATACATTGCATATCTACTGATCAATCATTAACAAAATTTAGAACCTTCCTCATATACCAAGATAGAACTAGAATTTAAGTAGTTGATCAACACTACAATCTGCAATAAAATTTTGCTTACATTGATATCGTTTTAATATTACGGTTCTGCAAAATTGTGAATTTTACTTAACTGGAAATGTAAAACTGATTTTAAAAATAACTCTCAAAAATACAATGAAAGGAAGAATGAACATGCTCAGACCTTGAAAAGATCAGCAGGATAAATTTATATGTAAATAAGAAATAATATCCATGTGTACATTGCTTTATTTCTGAAACCAATACTTAGCAGACTAAAGAGAACTAACATCAGTTACAAATCAATTGTAGCAAATGTGTAACTCTGGTGGGGGATGTGGATAATGGGGAGGCTATACATGTGTGCCGGCAGGGGACGTATGGGAAATCTCTCTACTTTCCTCTCAGTTTTTTTATGAGCTTAAAACAGCTCTAAAAAAATAAAGTCTAAAATAATTGCATAATGTCTGGCTCTGTAGTAGATTTTCAGATATTTAGAGTTATAACCTCAGTCAGCTGTTAATATTATATGATCTGATGTACTCAAAGAGAAAATACACCTAAATTTGTTTCAAACTTAGTAAAGATTTCCCAACAGGGAATAAAATCGACTGTGATGGTAGCTGAATGGTTCATAAGCATAAATTAAGCTACTTAGGATGACATATCTTAGTTATCTTAATATACGCTGTCTGCTCTAGATACAGAAATTAGTATAAATTTCTACCTAACATTTATTAAGCCATGACTGCTGAGGACTAACTGTAAATGTAAAAAGAAAGCTACCTCGTATTTGTAAAATTTCACTTAAAGAACTCCATTAACCTAAGAGTTGCCATTTTTGACAAAACAGTCCCCACCTTGGCTATATTTGTGGTTGAGTCCTGTAAATTTCCCATACAACCTCACACACTTCAATATAAAACAGTCACTTTTAAGTGAAACAAATATTTAAGATGGAAATACAAGTATCATTTTTTATTATTACATTTAGCTTATTTAACAGTGGAACGTTACAGAAAAAATGCAATTTGAGATTAAAATGTTATAGGTCTATTTCTGTAAAAAGGTAAAATCTACTTGAAATATGTCTATTTCAAAAAGATATCAAACTTCTTGGCTTTTTTCCCTGCCAATGGAAATATAACCACAGTTAACACCTTTCCTCTATCTAAATCTGTAATCCTGCATCAGAGTCTGCCCCTTCCTTTTCTTCAGACTCTGCTACTAACAACCCCTCAGCATGTGGGTGGGGACACATATGCCTCTCAAACTCAAAGTGAAACTCACATTCAAGGGAAGCTCCAAGACATAACCAGTAGAGGCTCAGACTGACATATACCTAAAAATAATGTAATGAAATTCCACTGTCCTATTAATAGATGCGATGTATGAACCAAAGCTGGGCTGTGAGGAGTACCCTTAATGTAAGCAGATTTATTAGAATCTTAATTTTGTTTGATTTTCTTTCCCTAGAAGTTTACAACATTTTGTTTTCCAGAGTACTAGAAAAAATATTAGAAGGAGTTGAAATCATAAATTTAATTCCAGAGAGCCAAAGAGACATCAATCAAGCCATCTCCTCTGTTCAAGGGGCTCATCATATGCAGTACTTGTGGTACAATGAATGCAACTAGAAACAGAACACACACACTCACAGATTATATATTAGAAAGACCTCCTACAGGAGTCCCAATAGTTGTTTTTGAGAAATGCATACAAATTAGTGTTCTTTTGAGACACAGTATTGGAAATTCACACACCTGGAGACAGAGGAAAACATGAAGCCTCAGGTCCTAACAGAGAGCTAAGCAGTCCCTGCCACCAGACCACGGGCTCTCCCCCATTCCCAAACCTTGTAAATTTACAGAGAGGGAGGCTCACATTTATGCTGAGAAAGAGAAAGATCATGGCTGGACCACTTAAAATAAAATACTTAAAAACTTAACGAAATGCCAGTAATTCAAAACATGGTTTTCTCTTCCTAAATTACCACTCTATGGTCTAGCTAACTTTTCACCCCCACTATCTGGGCTTTCTTTGGCTCTGAATAATTGAAGCAATCTCCACTGCAACCAAGATGCATTACATTCAATCAGAGTTTATACCTCCATTCAAATGTATTCTTTCAAAAAATGTATATAATAACGCTGCTTATTCATTTGAAGATGAATTGTTTGTAATTAGTGATCATCTAACCCATAAAATTATCAGAACGTGATAAAAGAATGATCGTTAGAAATGTAAACTCAGTATCAATGATTTGAGAAATAATGAAAATATGTTTCACTGAAACTATGAAATTCAGACACTGAAATTCAGATGAAATTTCAGTTTGTGATTAATTGATTAAAGAAGTTGTATGTCTTTATACATAATACTAGTGAATATTAAATTTCAAAAATTTTTGTTCATCTTTGAAAGCAACTACAACTTACTGGGATCTAAAATAGTAGAACATGGGATATCATGGAAATTTAATGTTATGGGGAAAGGGGATTCACTGTTCTTCCCTTTCATTTTCTGTTTTTGTTTGATCTGTTATGGAGACTATGATTGTGGAGAAAATAAAGAAATATTGTCATTAAGAAAACTAACATATAGATTTGTTTACTTCCCCAAAATAATCTGGAACATAAGAAAAACAAAGCACCAAAACATTGATAGATATGGATGCATCCACTACAAATGTTGGAATTAAATGTTTAATATTCATCTCTTCTAATTTTAAGATTACCTGATCTTATAATTAATAATAGTTAAAAGCACTCACTATTCATAAACACAACAAATACTTGAAAATTCTAGCTGACACCTGGTTTTGTATTTGACTCGTCTGATTTGCTAACCCCCAGTTCTCCATGTTCTTGTAGTGTTTCCTGTCTTCTTTTAAAAATGACCTTCTCATTGGCCTCTGAAGCTTAGTGGGGCAGGTTAGAACAAGGAGGTGGAAGTGCTATTTACTGCATATTTTTGTGATTAGAAAGCTGGCTTGGAAGAAGAAGAAGAAGAGGAAGAAAAATAAAATAGGTTTACCAGGAACAAGGAAATGAATTTATCAAAGTCATGTGTAGCTATCATGAACACTAAAACAAATCATAAAACAAAAGGAAAAATGCTGTATTTGTGGCTCAGATGTTGAATTTGAAATTAGGGGAAAGGGATGCTTCTAATCGTAAGTGATAAAAGAGACTCAAATTTCTCAATGCTCATTCAAGAAGACTGAAATCTGGTGACATACTCTATTGGTAGATTAACCATTATGCCTGTTGCGGGGAAATGGGAATGGAATGTTAACAGGCTCCATCATGCTCTTTCTTCAAACTGGTGAAAGTCAGCATCACCAAATATCCGTGGGTTTCCTTACTTGTGCATGCCATTGTGGGTGGATCAGACTCCCTCCTGAAATAATCCTTTTCACAGACACAAGAGGTTGAAGCTTCCTCATGGGTGTAACTGTGAGGTGGACATTTGCTGCAGCTCTGGTTGTGAGGTGAGGCTTTGAAGAACCCAGGTCTGCACACTGTCAAAAGAAATAAGAGACTAAGCTTTTCCCCAGAACAGATGCAGTGTTTGCTTTGTGAATAATGTCATTATTTTGACTAGCATACATAGATTACATATAACACCATCTTTTCATAAGTTCAAAATTTTTTCATAGGCTTCTGAATCATAAATAACAAGCTATTCATTCAGATAATCAAATATTTATTTTAAGTATTTAAATGAAACATGTTGGGAATATATATATTTTTAATGATTTTTATGCCATAGGAGCTTCTATCAAATTATATTCTAAATAAATACTGAATATGTATTTAACACTGAAGTAGTGCTTTGAGTATAATTTTCATTTTCGCTTTTATTAATACAGCTTATGTTGAAGAAATGCAAAATTTTCCACTATGCTCAGAGAATGGCAGGGTACACAGTTGGGGCTAAAATTCTGTGGTTTAATTAATAAACTAATTAATAGGTGCCAATAGCTTCACAAATTCTGTTACAATGAAGAGAATTCATGATTGAGCTGGTATATCAATCACATTATATTGATTTCAGGAGTCGTCAGAGTTTAGGCATTTATTTATATTTTGCTCCATTTTAGAACTTTCCTTTTGAGGTTCTCACTGATTCAACATCTGTCTATTCTAGTATCAGACAGGTTTGCACTATAAAAACAATAGTGCTCTACAAAGGGTAAAAAGTGTGCCTTATTCAATTCTGCACTGACAATGCTTATCACGGTGTTTGACCACAGAAAGTGTTCACATGGTGTTCTGCAGCTCATGCTTGAGTGGCATGGCATGAAGAATGTAACTGAACTGTTCAGACTCACTTGAAGAAAAGGTTCTTTGATATCTTTGTTAAGTTGATGGTAAGGTAAGTAAACGCTAACAAAGTAAATCTTTTTCTTCTGTAGATTCTCTGGACTCTTGTATTTTACTTTCTTCTTGATTGATAATAAAGTCAACCTTCAATATTCCAATTGCCTCCTATGGGCTGATTGAAGACCACTGAACTGATGATTTGATGACTTTTTAGAGCTTAGCTAAAATAAAGCAAATCAACCACCTATATTTTTTCCTTTTTTAAAAATTCACTATATAGATTTAAAAGCATTTATTTAAGCATCAATGAACATTTGCTAAAGCTTAAAGATAAACTTGTATTTCCATAGAATTTTTTGATAGACATAATGCAGTGGGGCTAATTTTCATGTGCTATAAATGATCTTGGGTTTTAGTAACCCATGCTAAGGCTTCCTGCCATCACCATGAATAATCAGGAATTGACAAAAATGAGAAGGTACTTTTTTCAGTAGATCTAATTATAGCGATAGTAAAGCCTTAATGCTCTTATAAATTCAGAGAGAATGTGAAGGTATTTGAAAGATAAGAAGAGCTTTTTTGATAGTATTAGGGACATTCTTGTAGTTAAATGATTAGGAGAAGATTTAAAATATTCTTTTTCTTATAATAGGATTGCTGTAGCAGCCAGTACCATTCTTAGCTAAGTTATCCAATTTTTCTTCTTTTATCCTTTTCAGTAAAACCATTCTCACTTTAAACACAATTTGCTTTCAAAGAAATGAACTGTCAATCCACACGTTCTGCATATTAGGAACTCATTTATCTTTCATGAAACAAAAGTCATTTCTTTTTAACGAGTGCCTTTTAGTTTAAAGACTTCATACGATAGTATATATAACACTGTTGATCAACTCCATGGGAACATTGGAAATAGGAAATAATAGAAATGTAAGTAAAAAGTAGATAAATGTATCTTTCTCTTCAGTTGCTTTCTGCAGGTGGTGGGCCATAAATTTTGCTTGGTACTGGGTTACAAAGGTGAAAAAGCCAGACACGGTCCAGCCTTTATGAGTCTTAAAGGTGCTGCACAAATAATTATAAATCTGATTATGCCAGGAAAGAGAAAGAGCATGGGAGTGAATACAGACACCAAATTTAGCCTGGCATGCCAAAGAAGACTTCCCTTAGGAAGCTGAGTCTCTGTTGAGGTGTCAAGATCAGGAAAATTATCCCATCTGAGGAGGAGTATTGCAGAGTCTTAGAGGGTGAAATCTTTTCAGAGAACCAAAAGAGGAGGAGAGCAAATCAGGAGATGGAGAAAACTAAAAAACGAAACAAAATAAAACCAATCAGGGAGAGTGTAGGAATAAAGAGACAGAGATGATGTGGGGGAAGATGATATCAAATCAGAAACACCTAACGTTTCTATTATTTGGCACTTTAAATTTATGGGTAAAAATAAGTCATTACAAAGTTTTAAGTAGGGAAATAATATGATCAAAGTGGTGTTTAAGAGATCATTTCACAGAAGCATGGGCAATGGACTGGAGAGGAACATGGATGGAGGCATTTGGCCCTTTTGTTTCTGTTGCACTGGTCTGGAAATGGGCAAGAGTGGTTCCAGCAGTGATAGATAAGAGTAGGTGAATTCAAGAGATAAGTGTGAAGTACAATCAGCAAGATTTCATGACACATTTAATAAATCAGACGCATGAGTGAGAAATCCTCAGAATGACTCTAAGGTGCCTGGCTTAAACTGCAATACTGGTGCCATTTTCTCAGATAGAGAACACTAGTTATGAAATGTGTTGGGGGAAGATAACGATTTCGTTTAAAGTATTATTTAATTTGAGGCGGCTAAAGAAACTCAAATAGAGGTATAGAAGGAAAACTGTAGGGTTAATGTTGTCCAAGAAAAATATCATAAAATCATAATCATCCACTGCCTTCAAACCACGGCCCTAAATCCAAGTGGGACATGCACTGCTGCTAGACAATCTTAGTATTATTTCCTTAGTTAATGCCAGTTCACAGCATCAAGGTGATTATTTTGTAGCATTTCCTATTTCTTCTAATTCCTTACAAGCTCTATTCCTTTGTGACTCTCCTGGTACATTTGTGTATGTGCTGAGAAAACAAGTCATTAGAAAGGAAATTTCTTATTTCCTTACCACCAAATCTCCAAGCCTATGTGCACTTGTACCTTTCTTCCTGTTAAAATGGAAACATATCTTTGCTCTTTATATAAAAAAAAAATCTATTTGAATTAGGAATCCCATCTGTAACTCTGAGAGTCATCTTCCAAGTGTCTAAGATCCCTCTTACATGCTCAGGTTCTCTCTCTTTCTCTTCCTCCCTCATCTAGTCATTCACAGAAGTCTGATACAATTTTCCAGAACTTTTCAATGGAAATAACATGAAACAAACCAAAACAAACAACACAACTATCAATCTTGCTTGATTCCAATTCTCCCTATGGTTACCAGTTTTGTTTCCATGCAGAACAACAGTTTCTTAAATTATTTTCTTAAAATATTTTCTTAAAATATATTAAATGCATGTATCTTCAGTTCCTCATTTTAAATCACACGTTGACATGCTCCACCCCATTGCAACTGCTTTGGTTCAGAATGTAGTAGTCTTGTTAAAAAGCATTTAACAAGCATTTGATCATCTCTTCTTTCTGTAAACTCCAGTTAATTTTACTACAGAATGCCAGCATAGCCTATGAGTTTCCACATAATATTTAAGAAACCCTTTAAATATGGTCTCCTACCACACTCACTATCTCCATCCCTACTAATCTTGTAATTCCCAGCACTTGAGCAACTCCTTTGAATACTGCAGGAAAAGCATTCCAGGAAAAGACAAGAAGTGTAAATTAGGAAAAACAAAAAAGCTTATAATCAATGATAAGGGATTTGGATTTAATCTGAATGCATTTTGTGGGGGGAGAGGTAATCACGTTTTTATATATATATATATGTATATATATATATTTTAAATGGAGGTACTGAGGATTAAACCCATCAATGGATGTACTGGGGACATCGTGCATGCTAAGCACACAGTCTACCACTGAACTACACCCTCTGCCCGAATGCATTTAGAAGACACTGCATGTATTATTTTTTGAAGGCGCTCTTTCTGTTAAGCACTGTGGCAAGGAATATTTGTACTGTGGTGAGAAAGTAAAAATTCTACTCTATACCCTGAAGCCACAACATATTTGAGAAACAGAAAATAAATAATAGTAAAAAAAAAAAGGCAAAATTGACTTTTTACATTTTAATCAGGGCAATATTCAACAAATAATTATTTAGGTAAGCAGTAAAATTTCTGTAAATCCCAACTTGATAAGTTTGATTCAAAAATAAAGGAAGCTCTGGAGCAAAGTTGTTTCATATGACACTTGTACATTACCTAAATATTATTTGAAAATATTATGCAAATCCCTGTAAGCTGGACAAGGAATAGGAGACCAAACACTGCATCCTATGTTAACAGGTTTCAGGAGGCTATTTTAGCAGTCCTCTGGAGGGAAGGAAACTATTTTTAGTAATCCTATTCTGTTCATGCTTCAAGACTCATTTTATAAGCACTACCTTTTCCATGATGCTTGTGCTGAATTCCATGATTACATATTCTTCCTTTACACATCCTTTAGATCTTTGAACTATTTACTTAGCACCTCTTTTATGGAAGACAGAAAGTATTTTGTCATAGTTTCATGTGTATGAGTTCTCAACTACTCCCAGTTTGTATAAACATCTTGGACAATGGAAACTGCTCATTGATTTTCATTCTATGGAACATAGTTTTTTGTACTGAGTACATATTCATCAGTACTTATTGGTATGAATAATATATCTGTGTCTGTCTCAGGGTTTAAATGATATAACAGGAACTTAATAAAAGCTGGTTAACTGTAATTGTTTAAATATTAAGTTCTACAAGTGAAAAATAACCTTACATCTTCACACACTGCTTTACAAGTTTTGCACAAACTATCAACACTAGCTCTCATACTGATCGCTTTAAAAACAAGGATGTTATAGATGTCAATTAAAATACAGTTTTAAAAATCTAAACAGAAAAAAGCATGTCATCAATATTCAAATGAATAAAGGCTGTCATTTGTTAAAACTGCGAAAAGGTGCTGCCCACTCTGATTAGGATTTTTTAAAAAGTCCTCAAAGTTACGAAAAATGGT